CAACCTAGTGTTCATTGACAGATGAATAAAGAAAATGTGGTATATGTGTATATATATGTGTGTGTGTGTGTATATACATATATAGACACATACATATATATATACACACACAAATATATAATGGAATATTATTCAGCCATAAAAAAGAAGGAAATCCTGCTGTTTGCAACCACATGGATGAACCTTGAGGAGATTGTGCTAAGTGAAATAAGTTGGACAGAGAAAGACAAATACTGTATGATCTCACTTATATGCGAAATCTAAAAAAACCCCGAATTCAGAGAACAGAGAACAGATTAGTGGTTATCAGAGGCAGGGTGGGGTGGGGGGTGGGCAGGGTGAGGGGGATGAGTGAAGGGGGTCAAAAGGTACAAACTTCCAATTAATAAGATAAATAAGTCCTGGGGCTGTAACATACAGCATGGTGACTATAGTTAATATTGTACTGTATATTTGAAAGTTGCTAAGAGAGTAAATCTTAAAAGTTCTCATCACAAGAAAAAAAATTTGTAACTATGTGAAGTGATGGATGTTAACTAAACTTATTGTGGTGATCAGTTCACAATATATATACATATATCAAATCATTATATTGTATACCTTAAACTTACACAATGTTATATGTCCATTATATCTCAATAAAACTGGAAAAATAAAATAGATCTGGGTGTTGAAATAAGGTATAACTGGCAATTTGGATTCTCCTGATCCCAACCAAAGGTGGGTTTGCTCCTATAAAATGTGCTGTGACTTAGAACAAATAAAATGTGAAAACAAAAAGCGTTAAGGTTCCCTGTGGAAGGAAAACCCCTGAATACACAAAAAGAGACAAAAAAGCAATATGGGAAAACTCTATTTTTTTCTTCTGAAACAAAAAATCTGCCATTGAATAGAATCCCGATTTAAAACAGTTTACTCTATATATCTAGTTCACCAAACTATATGTATATCGTGGGTCACTGCATAGCTCGTCAAAGCCAAATTTTGAAAGCCTGTACACAGGTGGAAGTTCCGGTGTTAACACAACATCCTAAGTGCTTCAGATCACATTAACTATTAGTCCATAAGGCGAGGCAGCTCCGTGGGGGGAGATGCTACCGTTATCCCCATTTCACAGCTGGGGAAACTGAGGTGTAGCGAGACTGACTTGTTTAAGGTCACCTGGCCAGCGTGGAGCAGAGGCAGGATTTGAAGCAACGGACTTCGGCTAATCTCTCTGCTACAGGGCCTTCCATTAAAGGGCTCCCGGGAATATGTGAAGCTGCCAGTATAATGCAACCACACAACAATAAAGAGATGTTTTCAACAGCTACTTTCTGTGTTGCCTAAAAGCAGCAAATAAGATATTCTCTGCTGCTGGTGACCATGAAGTCAGTATAAGTGACCCTGACAACAAAATCATTCAAGTAGGTCCCAGGAAGTGGAAATACGTCAGGCATGACGTGACTTCCTCAGACTTCTCCACAGGTGGCCAATAGTTTAAAATTATTTGAAGCTCCCCTACCAAAGGTGGGGTATAGAACAAATAATTTTCTTTTTAAAAGTGTATTGGTAAAACATAAGAATTCAAAAGCTCCATCTGAGCAAACACCTCTATTCATTGCTCTGCCTTTTTATTTAAATTTTTTTAGTTTGTAAAAGTTTCTTCTGTGATAATGTAATTGTGTTCTTAGGTACAGTCATGCTCCACATAACGATGTTTCGGTCAACAATGAACTGCATATTCAGCAGTGGTCCCATAAGATTAGTACCATATCGCCTAGGTGTGTAGTAGGCTGTACCATCTAGGTCTGTGTAAGTGTACTCTATGAGGTTCACACAACAACGAAATTGCCTAACGACACATTTCTCAGAATGCATCCCTGTTGTTAAGCGACACACGACTGTATTCCTTTTCGTTTTTTTTCTAATCAGCCATTTTTGGATCATGACATGATTTTGTCATAACTGGATTTGTAGAGCCCTTCTTACATGTGCACATCTTGGTTTTTTTATACCCATGTGTGTGAGTGCGTGCGCATACATCCCCGCCCCATGCCCTATATGGTGAGCACCTTTATCACCAAGCTCTCTCTCCCTTTGGTTCCAGACAAGTCTTCTTGTCCTAGATTTTTTTTCCATTAAAATTATGTACCTCCCTCCCCAGGTCTTTATTTCGTAGTTTTCAGGTTTCTTGCTTCTTTCATTCCTTTGGCCCCAGAGATGGACATTTTCCTCTGCAGATCCTGAAGGATCTCCAAATCTCCCTTTTATAAGACGCTTCTCTCTTATGTCAGCCTAACTTTACTTACCACGGAAATGACAATGATTCACAAAACTTGATTGTTACTGTTAGTCAGGAAGAGCTGACAATCTTCAAAGAGATTATTGTTAAAAGAGTCTTTGAGTTTGACTCAACTTCAAGTATATTTGGCATCCTAGGCAGGAGAGAGATGGGAGGTAGGAGTGTGGTTGATAAGTTTTTCATCTGTGATGGGCACCCGGCACACTCCAGAACAAATCTCTCACCCTGTTTTTCTTAATCCTTTCCTTCTCCCATGCAAGCATCATTCGATTTAGTAGCACTATACATTTAGTTGTTATATTTAAATTTAACATTATCTAAAATTTCAATTTGAGCACAATCAGTATCTGTGATCAAATAGATCATTCTGGCTATTCAAACACCATCTACTAAACATATCTTGGAAGCAAGAAACGAACGGTGCACAGAATTACTCTTAAAGCAAGGGGTGATATTTAGTATAGCTAACATCTGGTATGACATGGGCACACCCAATCAGAAGAAGCCCTTGCGGTGCCAGGGTTTAAGGGCTTAAACCTTTAGTTGCCGGACAATGGGGAAGTTGGCGGGTCCTAGGAAAGTGGCCAGGGCGGAGGCAGTTGAACTGAAGTGAACAGGGCGCCCAGTTGAACGGGGCGGAGCTGGGAGTTCGGGGCAGATATTTTACCAACCAGTTCAGAAGTATTTCAGCAACATTTACAGCCACATCAATGGCTCCTGCTGAGGACCAGCCTGCAGTGAGGTTCACTGTGCTCTATCTATCAGAGCTTGGACCTGTCTCTCTGGAATAGTATGTGTTTAACACGAAGAAGAAAGGCTAACTTGCATGAAAAATCATATTACAGTTGTTTCTTAGCCTATTATAGTCTCTAATAGTTTCTCAACCTTATTAAGGTCATCACGCACTTGTTAAAACAGTGTGATCTCCAAGATTGTTTACTAAATTTGAACCCACTGCATTCCACTCTTGACTATATTTGACTGTAGTTACTGATTGGCAAAGAGGTGGGACATATCTGTAATATGCTGAGGGACTCATTCTGGCAGCTGTTACCACCTCTGGACACTTGACGATGTTCAGGTGGCTTTTCTACATGTCATGGGCTGCTCCTTTGCTACAAATAACTCTTGAGGTGAAGGGGCACACTACCTCCACCCCCCAACTCCCCCTCCTCCTGACCCCCACGTGCATACACAGCTCCAGCTCTTCCCTGGGACTGCACTGTGCTTCTACTTTCAATGCAGAATGTCAGATTCCAAGGCAGGCTCCCCAAGGCATTCCAGGAGCCTTCAGGCTAGCACTTCTTAACCTTTTTTATGCCATGGGGCCCCTTTGGCAGGCTGCTGAAGACCATGGACCCCTTTTCAGAACAAGGTTTTTAAATGCATAAAGTAAAATACATGGGATTGCAAAGGAAACCAATTATATTTAAATATGGTTACCACAATGTTAAAAAAAATTGTGCTATAGCAATATACATATACTTTTTAATTGACATATTACATAACAAGATCTAGCTGAGGGTCTAATAACTACTTGAATTTAAGATATTTGCAACTGTGCCGTGATGTAAACAACCTACAGGTTCTACTAGAGACTAAGTCATACTTATCCTACTGCCACTGGGGTGTGTTGCCTACATTCATAATGGAAGGAAATGCTAAATGTCAGTTAGAGGTTAGTGAAAATGTAAATTTTTTTGTCATCCAAATTCACAGTAACACTGAATTCTCTCTCCCCTGGTGAAGAACCCCTGCAGGATAAAGTTGCCCCAGGGGTCAACACCTCACTGGAGGTCATACCCCATGCCCTGGAGGCAGAAGCCCTTTAGGCCACCCACACACAGCTCAGAGCTGCCTCTTGGCTGGAAGTTCTCCTTCCAACTACTCCTGGGAATTTGGGGGCAGGAAAGAAGGGCTCCTGAGCTCATGGGTCCCATCCTTTACTGTTGAGGGGCTTCTTCTCAGCCTCAGAACACCTGGAAACCAAGTTTTAAATAGCTGACACCAGCGTGACTTCTCCCACAAGCTCTCCTTTTCACCCGGGCACAGAGCCCTGGGTGCTCTGGGGCAAGGCTGGGCTTCAGTTTTCTCATCTGCAAAAAGACAATACTCACCATAGGATTGTTAGGAGGATTAAATGAGATAATAGCCGTGAGCTGTAAATTGTACAGCACTATCCAAGTCTGTGCTGTAATCATGTTTGACAGTTAGGTCTTTGAGGGCCGAGCACAACCTATGCAGCTCCATTCCTCAAATATTTGGCACGCGGTCGGCGCTCCATAAACACTTGTAGAATGAATGAATGAAGTCTGCGTCTGCACGTGGGTCTGGTCTGCGTGAACACGCTGCTTAAGGCGATCAGGGCCGGCGCATCCCCAGCACGTTTCTTTACTAACAGGTAGTAAACCCCTTTCTGGCTCTGCGCCGAATGGTAAGCATAATTTAAGTGCTTCTTTCCAGGAGGCCCCCCGGGATGGGGCTGCTCGGCCCGGAGATCGCCTCCTGGTCTCCCACGCCGCTGCTTCCGGGCCAGGTAAGAGGCGGCGGGAGAGGCGGGGCCGGCGGGGAGGGCAGCGCCGGGCCGCACCGCAGCCGGGCGGGCCGGGAAGGTGCGGGCGGCGGGCCGGGCGGCTGGCGCGCGAGGAGGGGCCAGAGGGTGGGGAGGGGCGGGGCCGGCGTCCTCGTCACTTGATAAAACGCCTGCGAGTCTCCAGAGAACAACGGGCTCATTCAGCGGTCGGGAGTTGCCCGCGAGGGGGAGCGGCCGGCGGAGAGCGCGACTCGTCCCGGGGGTGGGGCCGGGCGCAGTGGCGAGAGGAGACGAAGGTGGCCGCGGCAGCAGCAGCAGCAGCAGCGCGGCAGCCTCTACCCGGCTCGGAGCGCAGGGCGGCCGCCGCAGCTCCGCTCCCCTCCCGGTGCGCCCGCCCATGGCGGCCGCGCGGCAGCTGTGGCTGCTCTACCTGTCGGCGGGGCTCCTGTCCCGGCCCGGCACCGCCTTCAACTTGGACACCCGCGAGGAGAACGTGATCCGGAAAATGGGGGACCCCGAGAGCCTCTTCGGCTTCTCGCTGGCCATGCACTGGCAGCTGCAGCCCGAGGACAAGCGACTGTGAGTTCCCCGACTCTTCCCAACCCCCCGGGGCGCCGGCCCGCGCGCGAGGAGGGGCGAGCGCGCGCCGCGTTCCCGCCGGCCAGCCCTACCCGCGCGGCTGCCCCGCCCGGGACGCTGCCGGCCCCCGGGAGGAGCGGGGTCTCGCGGCGCCGGCCCCCATTCAGTCCGGGAAGGAGGGGAGCCCGAGGGCCGACCCCTGTGGACTGCAGCTCCGGTGCCAGGCGGGGCTGTCCTCCGTCTCGGGAGAGTTTACTTTTTTTTAAACAAAGTGCTTTCCGGCGGTCCTTCCCTCTGGGCGTGTTTGCTGGGAACCCGGCAGGTGGCACGCTTTGCTGAGCTTCACTTGCGTGTTTGGGGCGGGGGCGACCTGGGGTGTGGGGTCGCTGTATCGCTGCTGTGGGGCTGCTGAGAGCGTTGTTCAGGAAGATCCAGGCCTTTCCCAAACTCACGGAACCCACCCGTCCGCCCGCAGACTCGCGCGCCCAGCAGAAGTTGGAAAGCCGCTTTTCATCGTGTTCTGCGGGGCTTTCCCCGCACAGCAGGCTTTCCTGTAGGAGATACTTTTACACTCCCCTCCTTTTTTTAAAGGTGGAACTAACCAAGCACCTGTTCGCGGGACTAGATCAGCTGAGAAGGCAAGACCCCCTGAGTGGTGTGCCCGGCACCCCCGCCCAGACCCAAAGTGCCCGGCAGCATCCGAGACCCTCTGGGCTCCCGCACTGGGCAGGCCCAGCCGAGGGAATAAAGTAAAATGTCGGATCTGGGCTGGGGCTTTGCAAACAAGGTTTGGAAGTGACAGCCCCCCACCATAGCATAGCGGGGCTCCTCCCAGAAGAAAGTAGAGACCGGTGCTCATAGCCCCTCCTTTGCTTTCTTAGACAGTGTTTAGTTCCCACATGATCAGACTATTTAGGCTGGAGAGGGTATTTGGAGCTTAGTCGCCTTAATCACTGTAGGGCTGCATTCGTGATCTGTGCGGCCGAAAAATCAACTCACAAAAGGTCCTCCCTCCCCCCCGCCTTTAGTTGAACCGATGTCCTTCCAGGACCAACAGACCGGAGAAGGCAAAGTGCAGCCACAGTAAGGAGAAGACTTTGTGTTTATGAGAGGTGAATGGGATTTTAGAGCTAGAGGAAACCTCTTGATTTCAGCAATTAAGAACTTTGAAATTGGTGACTGTTGTGGCCCCTAAATCTTAAAGTCAGATTTTTTTGATAACACCTGCTAGTGAAGCAAAGAAATTAGTTGGGGGCAGGGAGACCATTGGCGGGTGGTCTGCAGGCCTGGCCAGCGGCTTATACTGTACTCTGCTTTCTCTCAGTAGAAATAATTGTTAAGCTGTAAATCTGAAATGAAAGGTGGTTTCTGTTAACTCAGTTAATGGATGATGTTTAGTGTCTCTGAATACTTGAGTGTGTAGATGTGCATCCATGCATATGGAGAATTTGAGCTAGTTAGTGCAGAAATGATTGTGGGCCGATAGAGGGAATAGATTCTTCTTGGCATTCTCTTTCCTGCACCAGACGCCTACCGAATCTGGTGGCTTCCTTGAAATACTTGTTCAAGCGAACATTGTGAAGAGGAAGTACTGGGGCAAGAAAATATCCTTGGGATGGAGATTTGCAAAATCTAACTTTCGCCAGGAATCGTGTTGACACTAAGCGGGCATGCTTGCTAAAACTTGTTACTGCTAGTGGGCTTCTCTGCTATTAGAGCTGCAAGTCCTCCTGAGGCTGAGCATAAGCCTGTGATTGGAGTCTGGCACCTTCTAGAAATGCTTTTCTTGGGGGCTGACAGAGAACAGTGGCTGATCAGACCCTGGGATGGGGAGAGACTCACCTTAAGGGGACTGTCTCTTTCCCTAGAGCTTAGAGGTTGGCAGTAACCGCACTCTAGGGGGCTGTGGTTTATGTCAAATGCTGCCTCCTCCTCTTCTTTTGGTAAAGTATTCCAGTTTCAGGAACAGCATTGATCCTCCCAGGAGAACCAGCACACACACATCAGTTGTCACCTTTGTCTGTAAAGGATGTGGGTATAAATAACAGCAAGTGAGACTGAGACCCCACAACTTCTGGTCCAGCTTCCTAGACTGCAATCTGTGGAAAAGCTCAGTGTGAGTATTTCGCGGGACTAGTGAGAGAGACCTGAGCTCCGATTCCTTCTCAACCATTTAGCAGCTGTTAATTTACTTTGAGCCTTAGTTTCTTTATCTGTAAAATGGAGATATTACTGCTTAATAGGGTTGTTGTGAGGATTAAGAGATAACATGCAAAGTGCTTAATTCCTGCCTGGCCTGGGTACTTGCTGACTAAATGGTAGCTGTTACTGTTGATAAATTTCGAAGCGGTAATTGAATTCCTACTGTGTGCCAGCTACTGTGCAGGTGTTAAACTTTCTGTGATTCTGACTGCCAAAGAGTAAAGCCAAAGGTTATTGTAGTTTGGGTAACTGATATTTTAAACTCTTAGTCACATTTATGAAACCCATGTTCAAAGCAATTTAACTTTAATCATTCTTAATTAGACTTACAACGAAAGTAAATTTACTGAACAAGGGACTTTATTGAGGCAGGAGAAGTAAAACATCAAAGATATGTGGAAATATCAGATGAACGCACCATTATAGAAACCACCATAGATTTTTGTGGGTTAGTTTTTCTATAAGGCTATTTAGATATTTAATAACATCTTAAACTCCTGTTAAGATTTTATAACAGAACAATATTGTATGTGAGAGCATTAAAACATTTTGGGTGTTCCTAAAACTTGGGGACTATAAAACTGAACTAGAGGCTGTAAAACTTCGCTCAGGTTTTTAAGCTGTGTATTAAAGAAGTTTTAGACTCAAAAGATTATTAGTTGGCTGAGTTACTGAGGTCAGAGCCTGAGTTCTTTGGAATCTTTCATTTCTCCTAGGTAGTTAAGGTTGAGTCACTCCCCACCTAGGTAGAAAGTATGGGATGACATCTGTGGGTATGTCCATCCTGTGAATCATCACTCTTGGCTCTTCTGGGAAGACATGGATCTGTGTATGACTGCAGGGCAGAACCTAGAAGGAAGAAATCTATAAGTGATATTCTCTTATAGAACTTTGGATTTCTTGAGCAATTCTGGATTTCTCTCAATCTCCATTATGTTCTTTTTGGGAACCTTCTGATCACCACTGTCATCCAAAGGCTCTCTAGGTCCACTGTCCCTTCTGTTCTGACTCTATGATGTTTGTTCTTGATTTTTCTCAGACTTGTGATGCTCCTGCCTTTAAAATCATGTTTACTGGACTAGAGATCATCTAGTCCGACTGGTTCCCTTTATAGACCAAAAACTGAAGCCGAAAGTTAGGACATGTCTAGTCTCACAACTGCTTGAGCAGAATCTTAACGGAATCTGTATTTGAACTTGGTATTTGTGACTCGTGCTCACGCCATTTCTAAAAGGAAAAGTCAGAAATGTCCTTCAGACCTGGAGAAATTGGCCAGCATCTGCGCTTTGGAAATGTACTGTGTTATGTTGATTTATTAAACTGCTTCCCATATGGATCAGGGCTATCTATTTAAATATCTGTGCCTGGACTCTCTTCCTATTGCCTCTTATTCCAGCTGGCCTTGGATCAGCTTCTAGGTCCTTCCTTCTTTGCCTGTCACTCCCTCCCCTTCTGAAAAAGCCCAGTGAGGGGTGACTGGAGCCAGCCAGGGATCAGAGCTGTGTCCAGGATGTATACCTAAGCACTTGCTTCCTTGCATTCATTCAGAGTGCCATGTGGCCCGGGGCCATCATCCAAGGACTGTGCTCTGTCACCTTGTGTCCTGAGAGTGGAGAAAGAGCCAAAATGGGCAGGGAGACTTAGAGGAGATCTTAGGACTCTGCAAGAAAGCAGAAATAGACGAGTTTAATTTTAACACAGGCTGGTGGGAGACCATCTAAGTAATGACTTAAGGGTTGGAAAAAAAGGTCAGAATACATATTCATATAATATGAATAATTTGTCAGGAAAGTCAGGTTAAATGCTCATATAATAAGATTGTCCACTATCGTAAGTAGTTACTTGGTGTTCTTAGTTGTATAATACTCTATTTTAGCATAACAATACTATTAAGATTTAAGTTAAGCTTTAGTAATCAAACAGTACTGGAACTATAGCACATGGTTCCCCTAGGACCTTGGCTCAATATATTACTGTGGACAGAGTTGGCCAGTGAGTTATTTGGCATTCTCAAGAAGGTCAGTGGAGGGCCGGCCCCGTGGCTTAGCGGTTAAGTTCGCGCGCTCCGCTACTGGCAGCCCGGGTTCAGATCCCGGGCGTGCACCGAGGCACCGCTTCTCCGGCCATGCTGAGGCTGCGTTCCACGTACAGCAACTAGAAGGATGTGCAACTATGACATACAACTATCTACTGGGGCTTTGGGGAAAAAAAAAGGAGGAAGATTGGCAATAGATGTTAGCTCAGAGCCGGTTTTCCTCAGCAAAAAGAGGAGGATTAGCATGGATGTTAGCTCAGGGCTGATCTTCCTCACAAAAAAAAAAAAAAAAAAGGTCAGTGGAGACATATTAGAAAATACTATCATATGCTTAGATGACAGGGTCAGTTTTACTTGGAACACTGATTGGTCCCGAGTCAGCCCGTCTTAAGAAAGAACATAATCATGTCTCAAGAACCAGTTAAATTTATCCATGAAAGCCTTTTGAGCCCAGCCTGAACTACAGCAGTTTCTTCTTCCTTTGAATGTCTATAGCACTTAGTATCATGTGTCTGACATTCTGATGATTTCGTGTTTAACGGTTATCTACCATTTTCAGAGGATGAGCCAATCTCTCCCAACTGGATTTAGGTTATGTGAGGGCAGGGGTCTTATGTTTATTTCTTTGCCCAATAGCACCTAGCATATGCCTTGCAAATACAATGGAGTCATATCATACACTCAATTTAACTTGTAAAATCAACTCTTCCAGCTCAGGGTAGACAGAAGGAAAAATCACTTTATTTAACCCTTTGCCCTTCCC